GGGGGGGATGGAGGGGTTAATGTAACAATAAAATTATTCATAGAGCAAGCACATGCGATTTATACTACTACAGCTCTAATATTACCACTGCACTGCACACAGAGTGTAACAATCGTATTGTCAGCCTTTGAATGCCACTTTAAATCTGAAGTCCACACGTGGATTGTCTGTCAACATTCTTGTTCATAAAGAGGCAGAAACTCTACCCTCTACCAGGGTGGCAGATATTTTTCGGAAAAATTGAAAAAGCCAGAGAATGAAATGACTGTCTATTTATCTAAAGACATATCTGTGAATATCTTGTGAAAAATCAATCCGTCGCCCTGGTAGAGGGTGCAGAAACGCCATGATTTGCCTACCCAAAGCCCAGGACTGTCAATGAGATTTTTTCACAACCAATATCCGATCTGACTGAAACTTGGCAAGTTGGAGGAAGTCGTGACTTAAACAGAGTCCCCATACCTAGATCGATCTAACAGTTCGAACCATCTCCAAGGGGTTTCTCGCTGAATTGCTTTCAGCTTAAACAGCTTAGATACTGTATATGGTGCACCTACTGAAGCTGCTAAACGTTAATCAATTACCTCCTGGCAGATTGATTAGGGGAGACAGACATTTAAGCCGCTTAAGTTGACAGCAATTTAGCGAGAATAATCCCCTCTGAGATAGATCGATCCATAATTAGTACGGCAGGGTCTGGGAATGGTCCCTTAAGTATCAGGTCACATGGTTTGATGACAAACTACCCAAAATTAAAAAAAAAAAAATAGAAAAACCTATCTATTGGCCATGTCAGCATTAATTGTTCTTTACCCCCTCTGCTTATCTTTATGTAGTGCGTGCCTGACTATCAATGCGGAACCGACGCCCCAGTGTGGATAAACGGCGCTGACCCCGCACCAGAAGATGGCGCTGTCGACCGTCAGGCATGCGCACACTGGACTGGCAATTGCTGCAGGTGGTCTATGAATGTTCAAGTTCTCAACTGCGAGGAGTACTTCCTGTACTATCTACCAGCGCCTACTGTGTGTTCGCTTGTCTATTGCGGCGAAGATTAGGGTAGAACTGACTCACGACAGAAAGAAACGATGATTATTTATTTGTGCTCATACCAGTTAAGGATGAAGACAGCGATTGTCTGCCAGGGTTATTTGATATTCTAACCGACCATAGCATACCAACATATAGGGTATCAATTCAAAAGCTTATTTCAACAGCTGTTCATTTCTTATCATAATTTTATTGCGCAATTGTTATGTCAGTAGATGTAGCGCTCAATAGGTTTTTCCCAGAGAAATATTTAGGAAACGGTCAAAACTAATTTAACCTTCAACCCGTAAAATGTTGCATCTATTTGTTAGCTTTGTCTGGTGGAATGTCCCTGGATTTTATTTTGCGTCACAAAATGTAATGTCAAATGTTTCAAAGCGAGAAGATGGCAAATTTGACATTGGTAAAGTTTATCAAATCAATACGTTATTACTAGGTGTATGGGTGAAGGAGATTTATATACCAAAACTGTGTTATTTTTCATAACAGTGGCAGTCAACACAAGTACATTTCGAACGTGTATGGAAACACCAAAATATGTTGCTTTGTTTTTATCTGATAATGCGCTACTGTGCTGAAATAGTTTCTTTATAATAAACAAGCTAGGTTGACTGTTCAACCCGCCGCATCTGGTCGTCATGTACCAGTTCCACTATTTTTTTTCTCGTTAAAAGTTTATCCAAGTATTCCCAATTATATCCAAGTATGCCCAAGTATAACAAGTGCCTTGCACAAATGTGTAAGGATATGAAGACAAAGCGGCCAGCGCCAGGTAACACTGCTATGTGTTTTATCACAGAAAAAAGTGTATGTTTAACAATATCAACACACCAAGAGTAAAAATATATCATTACAATTTGTACATTACCTATCAAAATTATGCTTATCTACCATTAATATTTTATAAGTTTGCATTTCAACCTTTATAAGGTGAATTTTATGAGGTGAAGTCGTATCACAAGTCATGAGCATGTATACAATTGTTTGGGCACTGCTAACCATCTGGCAGTCAAAGTGTATTACACTGCCTCTGGAACTGTTTCATTCCTCTGCGCAGCTTTTATATAAAACAATGCCGTGAATGTCCAGACGGATCACTTTCTGAAGGATCACTTATGAAGGTGACGAGCAAAGTAACGCTCACTTTGTTATCATAAAACAAAAAAACGCACATACTGCTCAGCTCGTTCAGCATTACGGAATCCACTGCCCCAATTTTTTCTTTGACGTACTTTCCTGCTGTAATTTTTTCTCGATCGATTTCTCCATAAGCATCTGTACCATGACACGTGCTTTTTGAATTTTATCCTTATTTGGTAACGCCTCCACCATGTGATATCGTATGTGCTCGTGGTCTTTGATGTGATACCGACACTGCGTCAGCGGACACGTCTGTTTCTTTATCATCACCTTTCCGCCGGGTTTTGGCTGGTTTATCTCACCTTCCTGAAATGATAAAGAGGTCTTTGTTAAACGGCTGGCCAGGTCTAACGTGCACCTGTGTACGAGGCGGTGTGTTGGGTGGGTGTGGGTGACGGTGGGATGGAGGGGGTGGGTGTGACTGGGGTGGAGGGGGTGTGGGTGATGATGGGATGGAGTGGGTGGGTGTGACTGGGGTGGAGGGGGTGGGTGTGACTGGGGTGGAGTGGGTGGGTGTGACTGGGGTGGAGGGGGTGCAGCATATTGATAAAGAGTCAGGACGTTAAATATAATAATAGAAGTCTCAGAGCCACCAAGGGGTCCCAAAACAGGATCCCAGGTTGTAAAGATCTTGTAGAACATCTAAATTATTGCATGTATCATTTCCCTTTATTTATTTATTCATCTGTGAGAATAACTAAGTTTGACACTACATATGGCATCGTATCTGGACAGCTGCTCCATCTACAAGAATGTGTCAATGGAGATTTAAAACGAAAAACACAGTGCAATGGGTAATAAAGACACCACTGCACAACACACTTTATAGATGCAAGCACTCTAAATAATTAAATCACAATTGAATGAGCATTTTCTATAAATTCCTTAAAATTTGGCAATTTTAAGTGATGTTTTGTTGAAATTATCCACTTGGGATAATGAAATAACTGTCATTATGCACAACATCTTAATCGAACATTCTAAATTCAATCTAGTGCTTACTTTAATATTGTACCGCCGCAGTTGAGGCAGGGAGACCGCAGACTTGGCGTGGCGGTGGGAATTAACGCTGAACCTCTTCACCCGTTCTTCAAGGTACGAGAGAATCTTATCGCTGGTTTCCCAGTCACGAAACGCTTGCTGCTTCTCCAAAAGACGGATCTTGTTGCGCACTATGGCGTTGAAAAACTTCAGCCCTCTTGGTCTCTTCAGACCCATGCTTGACGGGTTTTCGACTGGGTTAACTTCTAAGTCGGGCAACAGACTATCCCTGCGTTCTGGTTCCTCCGGTTGAGATTTCGCACGCTCGCGTTCCAAAGTTATTTTCTGTAAAGTCGTTATAAGATCTCTTGTAGCTTTTTCTTCCGTCTGAGGTCGCTCTTGTATCACCGGAAGAAACTGTTTCCCAGTTGTAGCCTTGGAAACCTCTGGATCGCTCATTCTGCGCATGCCTGTTACTGGAGTGCTCACTGAGCATGTTGGTGATGGTTTGGTAGCGTTAGACGGCGTTGGGCTCCCGTTGCTCTTAGCAGGCAGTTCGATAGTCAGTCTGTCAATGGCTTGGTTACCATCGGCTCCTGTGTTCACCTCCACATCACCGGTATTTGAGATTTCTCTTGGAGGTGACGTTAGACTCGGTGAATTGGACTGCTTGGTAGCCTCAGCTTGACCCTGACCTTGACCTAAATTCGTTGCACTCACGGACTCGTGTTGTTCCCCTGAAGCAGAAATCCGGGGAGAGTTTTCCACAGTGTCACTCTCCTTGGACACGGGTGGTTGATCCACTTTTGCTGCTGCGAAGATAAGATGCATGGAAGCTCTGCGCGCAGCTTGCGTATTATTATCCTCTCGTTTCAATCGCTCTTGCTCCACTACCTCTTGCCTCTTACGTTCTTTCTCTGCTTGCCATTCTTGCTTGGGTTTCGACAGGAGCGTGTCAATTTCCTGCGAATGCTGCTCGAAAGTTCTCGGCTTTGGCTGCCCGGAATCAATGACACCCTTCTCCTTCATGCGTTTTATAACGTCTTTCAAGGCAGTTATGCTGCGAGGTTTACGGCTGTCCTGGCTAACGTCTTTGCGTAAAGTACTTGGAAGCATATTTTTTCTTTCCATTTTCTTTCTGTGTGCCCTGATACCTTCCCGGCGTTTGGCTTTCTCCTCCATTATGTCTTTGTAGAATACCGCACCGGGCACCATGGGTTCTATTAGCGGGGCTCTGTCCCGTACGAACCATTGGAGAAGTTTATGTATAAGCACCTCTTTATCCGGAAGCTCCTTTGAGTTTCTTAGTGGTGTCGTTTTCTTCGGTTGCGTCTCCTCTTGGTGATGCAATTTGAACGCTAGATGACGTAGAAGTGGTACTTGACTCCCTTGGAGGGAGGTGACTCGCGACATGAGCTTTGTTTCCGCGTGAAGTGTTAGCGTTTCTATCGTTGGTTTGTTTTTCTTTATGATTAGTCGCTCATATGTCTTTAAATCTAAGAGGAAAGCTTGGGTATTTGTAGTGCATATCACTGTAGCGAAGTAAGTGTCAAGATTCATAGCAATCTCAATGTCTCCAATGATTTCTCGGTCCCGCACAAAACATAAATCCATGGATTTACCGTGGAGTTTTTTCTCTGCTGCGGCGTAACCGTCGCGCCTGCGCACTCGCACGGATTCCTGTTTTACTGTTGATTTGTTTGGGTCATCGTTGTTGGAAGAATCCAACCGCTTTCTTTTTGGCCTGCAACGAGAATAAAAAAATAATGACAATAATGAAAGGGAGACGATGCAAATAAGGCGACTAATGGTGAGTCATGTGATGAAAATGTTTGCATTTGTGTGTGGATTTATTTGAATTTATGAAAAAATGCATACAAACAATTAAATACCTGGTTTGCTCTAAAACAGAAAAATATTGTCGTTTTTTTCTCAAATTCTGTACTTCTGCTCACAAGTCAGAATGAATAAAATATGCATCCTACTAACTGTATCTATGTACCAGATAACTGTAACTCATTTTATTCCATGGACTCTTGGTTCCATGCATAAAGACACTATTGCACTGTTAAAACGGTCAAGGATTGGTAAATGAGGCTCTGTTCAGAAGACACATCAACCTCATATCATATTTCTCTGTCATTACGCCTCCCTATATACTTACATCCAGTCCCCGCTGTAGACGTCCGCGGAGTCCTGGAAGGGGTGTCTGTCCGGGTACTGACCCTTGTGCTTACCTGGCTCCACCACGAACTTTGCCTGACCACTGAAAGGGAAAAAATATTTCTGTATAGAATATACAAACACCAACGGTGGCCTTCGTCATTCTTTTTGTACAGCGGCATTTTAGCAAACCAGCAAACACACCACACTGGTGGCTGCGCTGGGACCATAAGGCTTTGAAGTCTCTCATGGCGTGATGACGGCTTGGTGTGCTTACTGCTTAAGATGTCAGTCTTCAGGCTCCGATAGAGAAATATAGCCCCTCCTCTGTGCTTCACCCTAATAGCCACACCTAGAGAGGTACTAGGTCATATCGTTTCTTTCATAGTCCTTAGTTTAGAAAAGAGTTATTCTATTTCAGTGAATTGACAAGTTTGTTGTTTATTGTACGGTCCGATAAGCGCTGAACGAGTCCACGGAATAATTAATTATTAGAACAATAAAGGACTCAACACAACATTTTAGTAACAGACTACTAACGCATCCTGTGGTCACAGCATATACAACCATGGGTATTTTGACTTACTTCAACATAAAGTGCAGTCCTACAACAGGCTCTCCCTGGCGGACAATGGGAGTATCAAAGCTGTAGCTCTCCTTTCTGATGCTCATCTTCAGAAGACTTTGCATCTTGGGCGTCCACGTACAGAAGAAGGGGTGGTTCTCTACGAAGTCGTTTTTCTCTTTAAACTCTAGTTCTGCAGCAGCCTGGAAATGTAATGTTGTTTTGGTCAATGATTGCTTCCTACGATAAAAGGTGCCAACTTTTACATTGAGCATTTTGATTTGAAAAGAAATCCGCGTAAGGGAACACCTAAATGCGCACGCACAAGAGACACTGAAGAGATTCATCAGTTTGAAAGTGAGAACAAAATTATCTTTAGCTGCTATTTTGGCAAAATACTTGTGTTTCCAAAACTGCATAATCTTACCTTCAAGCACCTGTTGTACAGATCCCTGTGGATTACCAGGAAATCTGTCTCCTCGTCTGTGATGATGGACGCGTTCCTGATGTTGTCCTCACTAATGAGGGCGATTTCCCCAAAGCTCTTGCCTGAACCTGAAAAATTCAAATTTGACAAACAGTGGTAATTAACCCTTCATAAACGTGTCCTTAATTTTATTCCGAAAAAAAAAAGAAAAAGAAAAAAAAAAGTTGTCAATTAAAAACACATAAAATGTTGGTATCACTTTCGACACGAAATATCCTAGAGGAATATTCATTAAAAGTTTTGTTGACCTGGATATCATGACACAGGCATTTTTTTAATGTAAAATATTCGAACTGCGCTTGTCATTAAAAAATAATAAAAATATAAATAATAGAAAATATAAATAAGAACAACTATTAAAATCCGTTTAAAAATCACAACAGGCACATTATCGCAAGGTCCTTACCAAAGGACACGATGTAGTTCCCGTACAGGCTTCTGTTCAACCGCGGCTTCTTGGGAGTTTTGGCTGCCTTTGAGGATTTTGTAGATTTGGTGGATTTGGAAGATTTTGGTGGCTTTGCCGATGACTTCACGGACAGCGTGCGGTTCTTCGACTGTTTTTCTTCTTCTTCATCATCATCTGCTTCATCATCGTCCGAAATGTCATCCCCTTCTTCATCTCCATCTTCATCTTTTTCTCCATCGTCTTCATATTCTTCCTCCTCCTCCTCCGCCGTCACTCCCTGAGTATTGCTTTCAGTTTCGTTTTCGTCCTGTTCCACATTGTCTAATTCTTCAGCACTCTCGATTTCTTTTGGCTCTTCCTTTTCTTCCTTGTCTTTCAAGGCGGACTCTCCCGATAAGTTTGGGTCAATATAGACTGACACGCTGCCGTTGACTATGATGTAAAAGCTGAAACAGCCATATTTTTTACATAAATACACGAGTCACTTCTAGTGAGCAAAGGGCAAATATACTACAAGACCAAAAACTCCAACAAATTATGCTACTTCCAAAAATTTACATTGTTAAAGAAAAAGACATGGCGCATGTCTGCGTGCAGACTCGCAATTATAAAAAGGTGTACACACACACACACACACGCATACACATGTACACGTGCCTTTTGATTTAATTATCATAATGGCTACGACAACTGTATCAAAAATGATTACCTTCTTTATAGCATTGCTAATGTGATATCAAAAACTATTATTATATACCCCAAAAACATGACCACTTCAGGACACGTGTTATAAGGAAATACTGTCTTACCACTCTCCACTCTCTCCTTGCTTTATGACCACGTGATCTGCGGCGTTGTGCTGATAGTAGCAGTTACGTATTATGTCAACAATCACATCTGAAAACGGACAAATACATCAACTATTAAATCGTACAGCTAGTGATAGGTCGATTATAGGACCGTTTATAAACTGTGAGCTGAAGTCAAGCATACTGGTATATCGAAATGTATTGAAATTTCCAAGATAAATTTATCTCTTTATTTATTTATTTATTTATTGCAATATAAACGTGTGGCTCTCTTGTAAGTCTGCAGCCTATTGTTCGCGAACTCGATGGCAGAGTATGGGGACATACATGTCCGATAGCTGTTTATTCGGGGCAGTAACTGAACCAAACTGAAAACAAGTTACATGTAGCTATGTGATCAATAATTATCGGGTTTACAGACTAGACTCTGAAAGTCATGAAAGAAAACTGATTGGAAACGGAAATGTATAAGCCTACTTTATCAGGCCCGTGGCCGGAAGGGGGGGGAGGGTCTGGGGGTTCGAAGCCCCCTTTACACCTGGAAAATGTCCTATTTGGGTAAAATTTTATCTAGGTACACGAAGGTTTCAAGGTAAAAGGCCCACAGTTTTTCAGAAAAAGTACCCCCTATTGAAATCGCTGGCTACAGGCCTGTTTGCTATCTGTTGACAAAACTACCTAAAAATAAATTTAATAATATTAAACATCATATATTTGTGTCACAAAATAAAAAAAAAATAATTAAAAAAAAAAAACCACGATAAGTTTTTTCTCCAATTGACGAACGAACAGTATTGGCATTGACTTTTTATTGTATGGAAGGCAGTTTTCTACACACCTTTTTTTCTTTCAAAGTTTTAGATGAAAATGTTAACGGATCTGTCTAAATTTCAGTACAACCACTTAAAGGTTTGCCGTATCAATAACTGAATGTCAAGGGGGGGCTATGTTTGAACCAGCAAGAATGTGCTGAGCCTTAGCTCCAAAACCAGGATCGAGTACATTGTGCCTGTGGGGTAGGGAGGCATTGAATATCAAAAACGTCTTTTATGGATCAATTCGTTAGATAAAAAGAATGCAGATGCCTGCGGCTTTCGGAAGTTGTCAGATTTTCCGACAACAGAGTTTCACAGGGCTCTCTACGCTGCCATGCTGGCACTTATCCAATACTCCATAAAAGCCAATGCTAATCTTAGTAGAAGTCAAGAGGACTTCATAATTGAAAATGACCAATTAATAAAAACCAAGAGGAAACAAAATCCAAAGAGTAAACATCATTACCGGTAGTAAAAACCTACGTGGATCAAAGTGGCACTTAAAATGTTTTCGAAAGGTCAACGATGAAAGAAAACAAAAAGTGACTTCATAGATGGCCGAACAAAGCGGTATTCATGCTAATACCATTTTCGTTTTTTTAATACTGAAATTTAACCACGATCAAGCAAAAGGCCAACATAGCTTGTAAAGATTATAGTCATACGGGCATATTACATTTCGGCAACACGCCGAAATAAGACCGTCTCCAAGCAAGTGGTGTAAGAATTGTAGAGGCTAATACAGTTCTTTATACAAACATTCCCTCTTTACGTTTAACAATACAGATGACGTGAGAAAGACCCCTTAAATGTTTACAGAAATTGAAAATCAATCTTATAAAGTCACGGGGTGACAGGAAATATTTACACTTTTTCCACTTTCTTCTGTCTGAGAGACCCAATAGCAATTAAGTATCGCCGTTACCCGAGGACTCAATAAAAAGCATTTACGACTCGTTTTTAAGGATATAGGTCACTCTGTACGTTCTTTATTTATTGGTTGTGACATTTGGCATTAATATAAGCAAGCTGAACTAATTTCGCGACATGTTTAACAGGGACCATCCAGCATTTTTTGTGTAATTACTTTACAGGGACAGTGCAATAATAATAATAATAATAATAATAATAATTGGGGGTTACCAAGTTGTCTGAAACACGATACCATGAAAGGAGCAAGTGAAAGAAGGTCCAACAATGTTCCAAAATTTCCGTACCTTTCTTCATAGACTGCAGAAGCTGGCTTTTCTTGCGTAGCCACGGGATGATGATCTCCACCTCGTGCTGTTGCCGCTGATCAGGGCTCTTCTTGATCACATTGATCACGCGCTCGTACATCTGGCTCATCTTGGCGCGTGACCCGCTGGAAGAGCCTGAAAAATTCAAAGATATTGAGATTAACCAGGTGGTCTTTGGTGATAATTTGTGAATCTGTACTGCCTCATGTTTTGCTTAAAAATAATACTGATCATAAAAAATCTAAATTGTTGTACCGTTTTTACGGAAGTAAAGAAACGCCAATTAGAGAAACAAGGAGGTGAAGGACGAAATAACTGTTGCAAAATGCTAAATAAAAAAATCTTCATAGGGCACCATTATGAAACACAACAAGCCAACATTAAAATTTTCTTAAAATTCATGACTTTTGATTGTTCTAAAGTGGCATAATTTGACAATTCACTTCAGCACGAAAAAAAAAAAACAAAAAAAAAAAAAAAAAAAAACAATCCCCTCTATACAGTTCCTGTGAAGAATCTAGCATATAACCCATGTTCACTAGAGCTTCCAATTAAGGACATTCAGCATATGATAATTCAGTGTGATTTTGAACAAAAAAGCAGGTATTCAGTCATGGGAAGGTCCGGCTGTGTGGCCACCGAATTCATCACCCCGGACCCGTCTTCCGGTTTCCTTTCGTTCCTCACCGCGCCGCACATTTTCAATGGTAGCAACGCAGAGGACAATCTAAAGTCAGCCTATCTTATCTGAGCTTCTTATGCTGCTCATGTTAAAATGTTAATTCTACAAACGATTTATGCTTTACTTTGGGCTTAACGTGATACACTTATCACGTAATGTCTCGTGTTTTATTGTTACGGGATTTAGGCACCTAGCGTACGTTACGTCACGTTATTTGCCCCCAGAAGTGCCATAATGGAGAGAACATATCAAGTCGTGTGACTTCAAAATCCTCGTGTAAATATTTATTTTATTTGAAGTCCGGAGTTTTTCAAATAAAGCACCCCAACACCAGAATATCTTACGACTGAAATACTTCATAGCACTTCAAAAGTAATATTCAGTGGAAAAAAAAGGACAGAGAAACGAATTGAATAGGCCTTCGCCGAAGTCTTTTATAAGAAAAGAAGATGGCTGAATCCATTATAACCCATCCTTACATCATATACATTTGGGGAAATAATTTCTTAAAAGCTTAGCAACTATTTTGGTCTGCATGCCTGCAGTTTGAGGGTGTTTTTTCATTTCTTTTCTATTTTTTTTCTTTCTTTTTTTTTTTTTTTGGGGGGGGGGGGGGTTATACTGTTGCGCACTATGAACACAGTCTTCTACTCACTTTTAGTAGACATAAAACAGTTTGCCTACGTTGTAAATATTGTGGCTTAGAAAAGCTACTGTACCAAAGCCAGAAACTGGGTGACGACCCCCTTTTTTTCTTTCCTTTTGCAAAATTTCTCGCTGGAGAAATGTACACAAATATATCCAAAACAATATCCGAAAATATCTTGAAAAAATGCTGTCTGTGGCAGAGTGTCATGAAATCTGAACCAAGCTTGAGAAAGCCCCGCTATCCCGCATTCTTTTCTGTTAGAGAGTTGCACCCTATTCTGCATAAATATTTTCTGTTTTCGAGACCGGCTTTTGAAATGTTTTGCTTCTCGAAATGGAAATCTTTTCTGTAGAGCTTTGATTTTGACTTAAGCTATTTATCCACCTCATATTTTGCCGTCCGCTCGCATACTTTTGTGATCCTCAAGTAGTTTACGTAGTGTAATACCCTGTATATTTTGTTCTCGCTCGAATGTCTCTTTGGAAGGTTATAGAATATATAATATGTATAACACACACACACACACACACACACACACACAAAGAAAAAAATCAGGACTTACGTGTGCAGACAGTATTTTATAATATGTGGTCTGCCGCTCAATTTGTAGGGGCCATAATGACTTAAAAGATGTCACGAACAAGATGGGTGATATTTTTTCCGCAGTTATACTCCAAGGTATCAAGTTAATATATTTCTGTATAAAAGTCTATTAGTGTAAATGAAAGCACTCGTGAAAGAACAATCTTACACAATCTAACTCTATTGTCGTTCTTTTGTTCCTTTTTATAGCTCTGATTTGGGCATTAAATAAATCGGGCACAAAATCTATACTCAGCAAACTGAGGCAAGTGCAGTGTTTTTTCAACGCTTTGTCATAGTTGATTAGCGAACAACAACATTATTAGCTTGCTTGGATAATTGATCATTTTCATAGAACGCAAATTTCCGATTTGAATAAAAAGCATGCGTTACTGTTTCGTTTGCTTTTCAGGGCTTGGGGCTGGTTGTTTTGTTACGGGGATATTTTTGTCTCTTAAACAGAAGGTTAGAAACGGCTTTGGGCGGGTTTTACCACATACAGATCAATATGTCTGTTAGGGTATATTTCTTACGGATACGCCCATGGTAGAAATAACGTTTCTGAAGACAAAACAACATTATGGTCATACTTGAATAGAATGTGTATGTAAGTGCAGCAGCTGCTGTCCAAGTTATGGCCTGTTCGTCTTTTCACAGCTAAGCATGGCCTACCCTCTACCAGGGCGACAGATTGATTTTTCACAGATATTCACAGATATGTCTCAAGATAAATAAACAGTCATCTGGTTCTCGATTTTTCCGTTTTTCTCTATATAATCTGCTACCCTGGTAGAGGGTAAGCATGACCTGACGCGTCGTTTTTGTTGGATTTTACATCTTATCAAATATTTTAAATGAAACAATAACTGAAATATTTATGCTGATTTTCCATTTTTTTATCTTCTTGATATATTAGGGGATTCCCTTACTTCAGTTACTGTATTTCTCGTCGACATATAGCCACTTATCTTCACAGTATTTTAGCGGTAACATTGTGACTATCACGACGTACCAAGATTACTACTTAAAATTCGTTAAGAACTGCGGCTTGTGGTTTATATTTTACTTATTTAAGTAGTCTTACTAGTTGGAGATATTACCACATTTTTACAGGAACAAAGTATTTTGTAAGTCCTTTTTACACATGACTCTGCCTATAGTAGCATACGGTAACAAATTTTTCTAAACTGAAAAAAAAAAAAATAAATAAATAAATAAGCAAGACATTACCCCTCTCCAATTTAAAGTAGAAGAAAAAAATTAAAGTCAACACCGTTAGGTCTTATAAAAGTATATTATGCACTGATTTAAGAGAATAAATCTTAATTTTAAATCAGTTATTGATTGACACGTTTTTTCTTATGATTTAAAATAATGGCTTCTTAAAACTACCACACCCGGATTTTTATATTATAACAACTTAACAATATCAACAGTCTTTGAAGGCCACCTGCTATGGGGCAGTTTCACAAATAATCTGGGTACAGAATTTGGTCTTAACTTAAAGACGAATATTTAAGGCTTCTTTTGCGACCCTAAATAAATTAGTAGCCATCCACCTATATGAAATAGTGTGAATTATTCAGAAAAAGTAAGAAATGATTAAGGTTTCATACCAATGGTTTCATAATTTTTTTAAATTAAAATCTTAAAAGTTACGATAAAATTTCTGTCAAATTTTATTGTAACAGGTCTAAAGAACTTGACCCACCTCTCTATAAAAGCCGGTCCGTCCCTCCTGTGTCTGGGTACATTTTACACACTCATTAGTTTGATAAGATTCTCACAACAGTTACACCTCAATCGATCTCCATGTCAACTGTGTCTTATCTCTTTAAAAAAACTCCAGTTTAAAAATGATCCACTTGTAGTCACCAAGGTGTGATGGGCGACTGCCGAAGCTGATCCTTTTGATTTCCTAAATCACTGTCTACCAGCTCATATAGGTCCTGTAGATAATATTGGAACGCGTGTAAGTTACAGAATTAAACCAAAGTTTTAGCATTATAATGCCAGACTGGTACCATCGTTTTACGTGACAAAGCGTCCACAAATCCGCCCCTTTCTTGTGGCAAGCTGGACTCGGTGGTTGGAAAACGGGAGGAGAGGAGTTAATTTCTTGTCGAATCCCTGGCACAGTGTGTTAACTGGCTGTGTCAATGCTGTCCTGCCTTGACAACGCTACTCTGTGATCATGCACTCTGACCCCCCACTGAGGCTACCGAAGGGGGTGGGGACAGAGAGGGAGATGGGGGGGGGGGGGGTCGAACATGACCACCGTAAAGCATGAATGGTATTTTCTAATCTTGTACATTTATTTTGTAACGTTTGCACTAGCTGTATTTTAATAAGTCAATATGTAAGAAAATCTATTGAACATGATGAAATGGAAACAGGTCACGGACGTATTTATCACTTACAGAGCGTCACAGAGCTATCTTCTGTGTGTTCAGGAACAGTTTGGAGAGTTATGTAATTATAGATATTACACAGGCGTTATGTGTTTGATGTGTTGAGCTTACGTATTCTCTCTCTCTCTCTCTCTCTCTCTCTCTCTCTCTCTCCTCATTTCTCCAGTCAGTGAAGAACTGAACCAAGATTCATAATGCCATATTCCTACACATCTCCGTCTCGTCCTGTATGGGTGAGCTAGCCGTAATTATAGATAAAAACTGATAGTTAACAAGACTGTCACAACGCTCCCCCCGTCTTATGAAAATAAATCAGTATTGAATGATAAATGAATCATTTTATAGATAGATGCATGAACAAGGAAAGCATAGTTCTTACATGGTTTAATAGAAACTTAACAACAAACATCTCATGAAAATTGTAAAATAAGAATTACATAATGATGAACAGTTTTGGAAAAAGACGTATACATAAAAATAAACTGACGTACACATACATTATTTATTGTAAGAGGCTACTCTATGGACGAAAACTGAGAGATGAAATTAATTCCGTACCAAAATTCTAGTTCGACGGCAGAGAATGAATGAATAGACAAATCTGAAAAAATCTAGTGAAAAATCAATCTGTGGCCCTGGTAGAGGGTGAGGGAAGCACAAGGCCTTCAGTAGATAACATTTCACCTTGGGCCGCCCAGTGGTTTGTTTTCTTTCCTCGTTCTGGGGATGGCTTAATGGACTGGTATTGAAGTCAGTGTGTATTCTGTCCGCGGCTGTCACAATGGCGGTGTGTACACCAGCCCTATGTGTGTGCAAACACTGCCAACAAAGCGGTTAGAAAAATATTAGCACTTCTTCACAAAACAGGTGCATTTGTGTGGATAGCCGTTTTCGCCAGGTGTGGCTAGACTGGGAGAAAAACGAGGACCGATTGGCGGGAAGGACGTGTTACCAAACGATACATTATCATATCGGTTCAACGTGCGCGTGCGTAAGCGTGTGTGTGTACGGGTGTGTCTGGTATGTGACTGTGAGTTCGTGAGTGCGCACGCGTGTGCGTGAATGTACATGTATTTGTGAGTGTGTTAAGGTTTGGGGGGGGGGCGCAAAATTGAATTCACAGACACATACCTCTAATGTGAGGCTACACAAACTCTAAAGTTTATCAGTAGAAGAGTTTCCAACAAGACCAAAACCGGTCTGCTTTATCTACGTGTATGAGCGCGCCGTTACATAATTTACATTAAATTCGAACATCAATTTAAGTCACCGAGGGCCGTTCTCATAAAAGTCAGCAAGGAATGTCAATCCGGGGGGGGGGGGGGGGGGGGGGCAGTTGACCACGTGGAACACCCTTCCTCCCTTGTCTCTCCTAAAATAGTATAACTAGCGAAAGTTAAAGTCTAGCGCTATGTAGCAGAAATATATGACAGTAAATTCATTGCCCTCGTCTTCTTCTTTAGAATAAATTAGAAAAGACAAAAAAAAAAAAAAAAAAAAAAAACTATTATTCTCCCTAGTAAAATGTTGAACCCGCTGGTGGGATTGGCTTAGTTTGCTATGTACCATCACTTTATGTCCTTCCACACATTATTCTTGAATGCACAAGAATCCAAAATTTACAACACAAAAACCCACAAAAAGCAGTCATGAAACACGTACAAGCAAGAGTAGTGATTTAAACAATTCACAGATATCAATAACAATGACAAGACGATAAAACTAAACTATTTTAATCTCTAATCAGCAGGAGAATCACTGCATCGTGCTACATGTAGGCCAGAAGTGGAAAACGTCGTTTGAATTTTCATTTTTTCTGGTTTTTTTTTACAAACCATTATTTCTATCTGGCCATTTTCTTCGGCTCCCAGCCTTTCTAATCATAAGGGATCACCCTGGCCGATATTTTTCTGGAAATTTTAGCAATTTTCGATTCTGACCCCCCCCCCTTCTTTTTTTTTTTTTTTTTTTTTTTTTTTTTCAG